CACACACACACACACACACCAAAATCCCAATGAACACACTTCCGCATATTATAAGTTATTTTATTTATTATTATTAAAAAAAGTCATTTCTAGTGTGTTTGCCAGAAATGTACATGGAAAACTTCAGTTCATTCATCAGGTTTTGGACTGAACACAAGAATTCATGTGAACTAAGATAAATGACATGTAAAAGTCAATGCATATTATGCATAAAATAAATGCTATTATCATTTTCTATGCCATCTATTGGGGAAATGTGGGTATTGCAGGCAATAGAAGTATAATGATAATATAAATAAATTATATCATTTGGGAAACCTTGGCGGGCCGGATTAAAAAAGCTGAACGGGCCACATCCGGCCCCCGGGCCTTAGTTTGCCCAGGCCTGCGGTAAGATGATCGCATTTTGTTTTAAACGTCAAGAGAAGACAAAACATTAAACAATAATAATAATAAAAAAATAAATAAAGGCACGTCAGAATCCTCGGTCACGGTACCTACTCAGAAACCAAAGCTAACAGAGCTATCGCTAAGGCTGCTGTTGCTGTTCATCACGCAGGAAATGGAAGCGTTATCTCACACTGACCCACAGATCAACCACTGTTACACACATTAGTTTGCTAGCACACTACTGTGTGATTGATGCGACATGGGATTTTTGACGTCGCGTGTTTACTTGTCACAGGTCGTAGATTAGCCATAATTCCGTGAATAATGCAGGGTATATGCATTTCATTGCAAATGGTTTATACGGCATGTAATGTGGTAACGAACCACTAGGGCTCACCAAATAATTTTAGTAAAGTTTGCCTTCTAATTTTTTTGTCAATTTGAAATATTTTTAAACCACTTAAGAATCCAATATACACTGAGTTTAACTGTCTCAGAATGAAAGTAAAACTGCCAACTCTGCTGATGCAAAATCATGTGTTTCAATAGAGATTTTGAATCACCAAAATCAGGGAAAAAGGTTTAAAACTAGGGATGTCGGCCAACCAATATTATCGGCCGATATTAGCTTAATTATGTTATATCGTTTTTTGTTTTTTTTTTGTCCCCAATAATGAAATCCCGCAATGCTTGGGTTTCGCCCGGATGGTTTCGCCCTAAAAATGGTTTCACCCTAAAAATCGTTTTGAAGTGAAAGTGAAATTATTATTTGTATTGTGCACAGTATTGTCATTATGACACCGCACACCATGTCTCCCTTTAACCCAAACGGCTGCATATATCGGTATCGGGTGATAGTGTTTTTGAAAATTAAGCGTTTGGGCAATATCGTCAGATTGGATATCGGCAAAAAAAGTTTATATCGGACATCCCTAGTCAAAACCAAATACCAGAACTGTAACATTCAAGGACTGAAACAGTGACCCCTGGAACAAGTGTGCACCATGCAATGTGTTCAAAAACAATTTGTCGCAGCATTAATTTTTAAAAAACTGACACTGTTCAAGTTCCTCTTTTCCAATAAGTGCATATAACGGGGCAGTTTGAACTTACGGCCCAACCTGTTATCATCTCACTTTAACAAAAAAGGGGCCAAGAAACTCAAGCCTGATGCATTAAAAAAATAATGTATCAGCAATATCACAGTTTCCATATAACACAGTGAAAATTAAAGATTAAACAAGAGTCAAATGTGACATGTGTCAGTCTCACCGGACCTGCAGTATAGTATAGTTCCGGCCCGAGAGCCTTGAGTTCATGCTCACTCTGCATCGCTCCACTAGTTTGTACCCGAAAAATTGAACCAAATAAAAGGCCTTGTCCTGTACACAGTAGCAGCATTGTTTCAGTCACAGTGCACCTCAACGGGGTGGGGGGTTGCGAGGGATTATCATCAGTACATGGAGGTAAAAACATCATCGAAATACGAAAAGTCCAGTTACGAAAGTATTAAAATATTGCATTTGCCTAAGAGAAGGGATCCATTATGAAAGGAGGTGAATGGCGGTGACTTTTTTTTTTTTTTTTTTTCTTCCTCCGGAGAAGGTGACACAGTGGGGTCCAACAGCACAGTTTTACAACCACAGTCAAAGCTTAGGGGCTTCTTGTCCTTCCCTGTTGGGACAGGAAGGATGTGATCTCCTTTATCCTCAATTACCAGAATAAGCAACATAACCATTATGATCATTATCGTACAGAGTATCATTGGTTTAGAGTTTTCTAAAGAAAATGACAATGTGACAAAAAAAAAAAAAAATCACCAAATCACCCAAATTGCTCCTAATTACACGTGCCTCCAATATTTCAACGCTTCGAATTTACAGTGAAAAGATCAACTACGGCTTGGCACAATTGGTTGACTACTTAATTAGCCTTTTTTTTTTTTTTAAATCACAGAAATGCCTTTCATTAACATGCATAAAAAAAAAATCCAGAAATGACCATTCTTAAACCTATATCATCCATTGTTTTCCAAAACTTAACATAAAATACCACATTAAACTGAATATTAAAGTGTCAAAGCCCCCCTAAATTGAAAAACCCTGAAAAACATTACTCAACGTGATTCTGGGTCAATTTTTTTTGACTAAATGTATGACTGCCCGTCGGTTCTCGTTGCTGCTAATTTGAACCAGAATGAACCAGATATGGACAGAAAATAGAATAAAACTGACCTTATAGTGCAATCAAAAACATTGCCGGATATTCATTATGTACAGGTTTATATGCATCGGTTTGTCAAAAGTAATCAGAGTAACAGTATATAATTCAGATTTGCGTAATGCATGGAAGGTTTAAAAATGATCATACACAAAGGATCATACACAAAGTACCATACTTTCCGGACTATAAGTCTCACTTATTTTTCATCCTTTGGCTGGTTTTACAATTTATACTCATTTGTTATTTCCCCACAAACAGCCACTAGAGGGCACTCTAGGCTTGTGTACCAGTATCGGCTAATCCTGTGCCACTGAAAAAGGACATGTTCGTTATTTACACCCTGACAGCCACTAGAGGGCACTCTAGGCTTGTGTACCAGTATCGGCTAATCCTGTGCCACTGAAAAAGGACATGTTCGTTATTTACACCCTGACAGCCCCTAGAGGACACTCTAGGCTTGTGTAGCAGTATCGGCTACTTCTGTCCCACCGAAAAATGTACATGTTCGTTATGTTGACACCGACAGAGGGCGCTCTAGCTGGAGAGCGACTTGTAGTCTGGAAAATATTGTTACAACGTTCCTCTCGTCAGGCGCGAAACACAGAGCGAAGATTTGAACACGCTCACAACGCACTCACAATCACAAAGACACATTTTTCGTATAAAGTCAGTGAGAAATGTTTCATTTCCTTTGACGTGTCTCTCAAGAAAAAGGTCTGAGGTCGACCACTGGAAGTCCGTACTGTGCAGAATCGGGACATTGTCCCCACGTCCATTTTGCATATTGAGTCCTTATAAAAATCCAGAACACCTGCAGACGTGGACAGCACGTGTGGTTGATGTGTCTCCGGCTTTAATACAGGGGAGCGGTTAATGCAGAGATATTGTTTGTTGACCCGTGTTTACTCAGGTTTATTTTCTACAGTGGAAGGATGGATTTCAACACACAACTGGAAGATCCTTTTTCAAACTGCCTCACATTAGAAAGCAAAAGATTGGTTTGAAAACAAAGGCAAACGCACAGCTACATGTCCGTACCCAACATGAGGAGGAGTTCCGGCTATAGAAAAAATACCCAGCCCCGCTTAAAGTCCTTGAGAAAAGTCTAACGAGCAGAAGGTGCAAACGTTGGAGAACCAAATTTCACAAGGCAAAACTCATTGAATATATATATATATATATATATATATTTATATATATATATAAACAGGTATTTTGGTCATAATATAAGGAAGAAGAATCTGCAAACCTATTATAATAGGACAGATATCACAAGAATATATAAAAGGAGAAAAACGATCTAAGTAGGTAGACACTCTCAGCAAATGTACCATTTGTAATTGCTCATCCGCCCTTTTGATTTATTTGGATATTTATGACGGTTTTTTTTTTTTTACTTTTTACTGTACAGCCTTAGACATGACTGAGACAAGACGTACAGCCGATCTTAAAGGTACAGTGTACTATTATTCATTGGACTTATCTGGAGCTTCACAGTGAATGACAAAAATGTGTATGATAAAACTGAAAACAGTTGCAGTTTCAAAAACTGCCACACACATCTCCCGTTAGGGGTTATAAGGCAAATTACAATTACAACTTTGTCACTGTAATTGAATTTTAAATAACCAACTAAGTTCTCGGTGTCTAAATAATACAATATTAAACAGTTTATGGTCCATTGATAGTTATAAAATCAGAGAAAAAAAAGTAGGTTTTTTTTTTTGCATTCCTTAAAGGGGAAGTATGTAGTTTTGTTAATAGTAATCTATAATAATTTATCATTTTTATTGTCAACCAGGTAGCCCCCCCTTTCCTGACCTGTTAGCGTTGCTAAGACTGTGTTTTCAAAAGCCTGATTTAACTCTCCTGGTACATGATTGTTTTATCTATAAATCTCTCCTTTCAGTTTTTTTTAAATTCCAAAATAAATAAAGGAAACATTTAGTGGGATTAGTGATTGTCCACTGGATGTAAGAAATGCACATTAACACAGGCATATAGCTTTTAGCGTGTTAGCAACATCGTTTTCATGCTTTAGCCCCATAACAAGTAAGCAGCTTGTTTTAGCAGCACTCTAGAGTATAGTGTTAGTGGCATGTTACGGGTACATTAGCACGTAGCATGTTAGCCTAAACCCATCGTGGCCAGGAAGTTCGTTTAAAAAAAAAAACTTTGAAAATGTACTTTTTAAAAATGTTAACTTGTTGTACAATGAATTTGGTTTTCATATGCCAAGGACGTTTGCAAGTTTTCATAAAATTAAAATAAAAATTTCCACTATAACATACTGACAAATTTAGGGAATGCATGGGAAGTCGAGTAGCCTTTGTGTTTCTAAATGAATGAAATGAATAAAATAACACAGTCACGGATTACTTGAGAGCTATAAAAAATTCAGGTTTCAAGGCTACAGATTAGGGCTCACTCGTTTTGAATCAAAAATCAGACGTTAATTATACCAAAGGAAACGAATGTGTCTTTTTTGCTACGTTGTTGTCTCCTTTGCTAGCATGAAAACAGTATTCATGAACTGTACTTTAGCCAACCAACACAGGGCTATACACATGCTTTGGTGCTTCTTGTTTTGGAAGAGAGGATGCTACGATACATGTAACGAAGACATGTAGCTTTGTGTGTGCTAATGTGTCGCATGCTGTTGTTATTAGTACAAATGATATATTTCATATCTTAGATTGATGTTAGATTAATACAAAACATTGGCACATTATCATCTAATTATTATACTGGATGGTGATTAAATTGATCAACTGTTGAACGGTTAAGAAAAAAAAAAAAAACGTTTATCAATTTTTTTCCAGGAATAAAAAATACATGAATTGTCACATTATTGTAGTTGTAATATTTCTTCTAACGTTTTTCTCAGCTCAGACTCTATGAACAGTGGTAAAATGGTAAACGCTCCCAACCTCTGACCTTTTTCACACTTGCGTCTCCACACCGTTTAGTTTAGGCATCAGGATACGGGGAGTCACCCCAGAGTTGAGGTCCCTCTCAAACTCCAACAGCTGGCCCATAAAGTTCAGATTTGGTGAAACCACGGGACGCCGACTCCGCACATATTTGTAGGCATCTGTCATGGTCATGAGGGTGTGCTTCATTAGATAGGCAATGACGACAGTCGCAGAGCGAGACACACCGGCCTGGCAGTGCACCAGTACTCCCTGTCCACTCTGATAGGCCTCCTCTGTGGACAAAAAACATCAGACGAATGTATGGTTGACAAAAAAACATAAAGGGCAAAATACAAGGCAAACATACATGGCGATCGATCTATCTATCTATCTATCTATCTATCTATCTATCTATCCATCTATCTATCTATCTATCTATCTATCTATCTATCTATCCATCTATCTATCTATCTATCTACCTACCTACCTACTTACCTACCTACCTACCTTTTTTTCTCTGAAGCTTAATTTTGCGCACTTAATTAGACATAATCTAAATTGACGTGGCACGGTAAATATCACAACCACCACCACATACAACAGGAACTGGTATCTACGTGGCACGGTAAATATCACAACCACCCCATACAACAGGAACTGGTATCCTACCAATGAATTCGAAAACCTCTTCAAAGTACTGTTGAAGGTTTTGCTTGCTGTTGTCGGTGGCAGGCAGCCGTTTGTAGCGCAGTCCAGAGTTGACATGGTACAGAGGAAGGTGTGTGGTGACGTTAACCACGTAGCCAATATTAAGGCGAAGCAGCAGATCTAGGTCCTGGGCATCTCTTTCATTTCCCAGGAACAGAAAAGGTAGGATTGGACTGATCACAGCATTTTCGGCATCAGGTGTCATCACGCTCTCATCAGAAAGAGACGCCGGCAGTGATGATGAAAGTGGCAGGGAGAGGTGCACTGAAAGAATATGGTAATAGAAGAAGCTGCAGTACAGGACATGATCAAAGTAACAAAAACCATCTAAACCATTTAAGAGATTTCGAATAATATCACACGCATATACTGTATATCCGATTCTAGATTTCGAATAATATCACACGCATATATATCCGATTCGGCACTAAAATGACAAATTTACCTTATTTTTTGGACTATAAGGCGCACTTCAAATCCTTTGATTTTCTCAAAAAATCGACAGTGTGCATTATAATCTGGTGGCCCTCGTGTATTAATTCTGATTGTAGACATTTTTCATTGATATTGCGCCTTGTAATCCGGTGTGCCTTATGGTCCGAAAAATACGGCAATGTGCCCCCATTAAAATCTGTTTCTGTTCTTTGGACATTTGGACAATTTCATAATAAGTATCGATTCATTCGAGTCTTACTTCGGCTCCTCTCTTCATCCTGCTCCCTGTTCAGGGAGTTGAGGGCGAGGTGAAGCGACTGAGCTGACGGCAGCGAGTGTCCCCCCTCCTTGTCCCGAAGCCAGGGTTTTGGTTTGGTAAGCGTGCTGGGGGCAGAGGGTGAAGGAGAAAAGGACACAGGTGATGGCGGTGAGGCAGAGAGGGGAGAAAAGGACTGAGAAAAGGGAACATCTGTATGTTGTTCCGAACCATTATCCATCCCTATGTCTTCCATATTCAACAGTCTCTTTAGTGAGTTCTGGCCTCCATCGTATCTTGACCTTGACCTGCTCCCCAGGAAATCAAAGGCAGCCATTCTTCCCTGCTGCAACCACTGACGACCAGCATGGTCTGTGTGTTGAGCCTGTGCATAGTCTTGAAGGTTCTGACAGTCCAAGGCAACAAGGCCCGTTCTATTACTATCGCCTTGAGCCTGTCTTCCACAGGTTCTACCCACCTCTGTTCTTATTTCAGCACGGTAATTCTTTTGGGCTTTAGAATGGGAAAACTTCTTAGCTAGTTCTCCAGGCCAGACTGTGCTAGCACTGTAGTCGTCTTCATCATCCGTTTGGAACTTGCGCATCAACTGAGCTCCAGCAATGCCTTTTCCAGGGGGTTTCCGGTGGGGGTTATAAGTTACAACTATGGGGTCACTGCTGCAGTAACTGCACGTGGAACTTCCGGTCTGAGAGGATTTGGGGTTGCATCCCATTACACAGCTCTGTATAGCTCGGAGCGGAGCGGAAGGAGTACACGGGAGGCATCCTGCAACGAGTCTCTTCCGAAGGACGGTGGGACTCTCGAAGGTTTTGGCTTCACCAGAGCAGGATGTACATAGAAGGGGTTTGAATCGACTTCCTCGGCAGTCGGACACAGTGCTGTTTGAAGAGGAGGTGTTGGAGGTCGAGCCATTTGAGAGACATCCACCCAGGTTACCCAGACCCATTTCCTTGCCTCTTTTCTTTACGACTCCATCATTTTGAACACATGAAAATGACGTGGAAGAGCTTCCTCCACCTTTCTCACAGCTCCCAGAGTTACCCTTACAACTTCGGCATCTCAAGAACTTCCAGTGACAACAGCTGAACGGATGGGTGCAGTTAATGGTGCACGTGTGATCGGGGCTAGGGAACCTTCCTGCGTGGGATGAGCACGGAGAGAGGGGCAGACCGTGAAAAATGCGTGGCCGGTGATCCCTGCTGTTGGACGATTGTGGCTTGTTGAGTTGCAGAAATGGAAGCTGAGCATTGGTGGGCCGGGACTGGGGGGGTGTGGGGAATTTTGAGTTTAGGACTGAGGCATGGGGCAAAGTGCCGGAGTAGCAGTGGTAAGGAAGGGTGTTACTGTTATGGCTTTGAGGGGCACTTCCAAGTTTCTTCTTGTGATCCAAAGAAAGAAATTCCTGGTCACCTCTGCTACAAATCCTGGAGTTCTCCTTCTCCCTGTCGCTTCTGAACTTATGCTGCTGCTGAGTCTGAGCTGGAACAAACTGTAGGACACCTCCAGGGGAAGTGGACAACTGATTGACTTGCATGCACCTAGGCTCAGGTCCACCTGATCTCCCAGCGGTTGCGGTTTTTCGCTCCCATTGTCCTTGATCTAACTGTGAAGACGCACATTTTCCTCTGCCACTTTTTACGCTTTTGCAATGCACCGACGAGTTACTGAGCCCATCTCCCTGTCCTCTCCGGTCCAATGTCAGCCTGATGTCAATTTTATGGGTATGGGGTGGCAGCCTAGGCCCAAGTGTCACTGTGCCATTGCTGTGGCAGTGACTAGGGGTGTGCCTCCCACTCACTGGGACCTCCGAGTGGTCACTTATGGATTTCAAGAATCGAGAGGACCTGCGCTGGCATTCCAGAGTCAGAGATTTACAGGCAGGTGAATGGGACTGTGAAGGGCGGCGATGAGAAGGGTGGGCGAGTTGTCCATTGGAGGAAGACGATATTTGAGCCGAAGGCTGCGGGACGGTTTGCGGGCTCTCACACAGTGCTAAGTTTCTGGGGCGCTGAATGACCACTATGCGCTCGTCAAGAGGAAGGGGAGGCATCTGTGTTCATGCAGAGCTGTAATTTGAAAAGAGAGAAAGAAAGGAAGAGGGTTTTTTACAAAAAACTAAAATAATATCATTGAGGAGTTACATCGATATTGGATTTCAGACAATATGGCTGGAACCTTTCCCAAAATATTAACGCTGAACTTTTTTTTTTTTGTGATGCCCTGAACACTCATACCCGCGTGAGTACTGCTGATATAAATGTTTTGATAATGGCATTTTGTGCCTGTGACACACTGCCTGCTAAAGCAGAGCAGAAAGGGAATTCATTATCACACGGTGTTCCTCTCATTCAGACAAAAACAAAATTAAAATCGTCAGCAATACGCCTGTGAAAAAGTGACCCATTTCAAATTCTGCTTCAGGTGCCATTTTCGTAAAAACTTTCGCCCTTCATTAAGGAGGAACTTGCTATTACAGCAGAACAACACAGGGCCACGGGCACACCGACAACACTGTCTGAGGAATACTAAAACTTCTGGACGAAGTTAAAACTAGAACTTTTATTATTAGGGCTTATGCAACACATGTACAAACACATTTCCATGTACATGACGAATTCTACAGTCCTTGTTGATTCTTGGCAACAGCAAGGCTAATGAAGAGTAAAAGTCTCACTGGCAAAATCAGCATTACAGCAGTTCCCCCGAGATACGACTTACGTCTACATTTGTAGATACGAACGAACCGCTGACTAATGTCCAAAAATGTTCCCCTCGGCTAACGATTGTTATCATTCAAGCCTTGCAGCAGTGGTACACTTATGTCCAGCGTGCCATATTCCATTGGAAGCCTCACCGCGCCCCCACAGGGGGGCCCGCTCCACTATTTAAAAAGTACTGACACAGTCATATCGAAATACAGAATATGCAGTGGACCCAGGGGTTGTTCAGCTCATAAGCTCAGGTCACGTTTGTCTTTAACTTCACTTTAGGCCTCACAGACAGATTAAGGTTGTAAGCAGATTTCCGAGCTACAGTCACAATATTGCAGAGACAGCATAATTAACAAACACGTTTTTTTGGTTTTTTTTATTAATAGACTGCAGCCAGGTGACTTTGTCAGCGTGTGTGTTCGGGTGATTGTTCATTTCGGGAGTCAATAGGGGGCAGAAGACCTAGAGCTTGAGTGCAGAACTGCACGAGGCAGTGGCACACAACGCATTGCGTAATGAAGACTCCGGTACGTGTGGTGAGAAAATTCAGGGGGACTGATTATAATGTGACACAAAACCTGACGGATTACATAAGAAGAAGGCGCACATGAAATGACCTTTTCAGTGAGCATTAAAACTACTGACACTTTGCAAAGACCGTCCACAGTCCACTGTCTTCACACTCAAGAGAGAGGTGTGTCTTTATGCTATTACCACTTTTTTCTTTTGTCAGAATTGCCCGTGGTGGAGGGGGTGGGGTTTTGACCTAGTTTTTGTCATGGTGCGCGTCACTATCACTCTGATCACTTTTTCTCTCATGCACTGTAAACTGCGGCGGCCTTTTAAGGCACTGTTTGTGAGTGGATAGAGCAAGAAAGAAATGTAAAATATAAAATCCGTCGCTGATGCCTGTGTTTTCACATGTCGACATGTTCAAGAAGAGGAAAAGAGAGATTTTTTTTTGTTAGCCAAAAAAAAGCCAATATTTTATAAAAATATGTAAAAAAAAAAAAAAGTGCATCTAATTTTAAGAAAGTTAAACATGTTTTTTTTTCAATTTTAGCAAATGTTATTGATTGTTTATTAATTGTTCATTTATATTATTGTATTTGATTGTTTTTATTGTTTAAAATTCTCCAAAGTTTAGGGTAGAAAGACAAAAACGACAAAAACATGTGACCACAAATGACAAAAACACATAGACTACAAAATCAATCGTACTAGAGAATCAATTTAAAACTGCAGAAATAGTTCAATAGTGAGTTAACGTCAACCTCAATAAAATAACAATATTGACCGAATATCTAGTTCACAAGAAGTATGTAGTAGTAGTAGCATGTGGAAGTATGTAAAGCCTAGACTGAAAGAATCGAGTGACAGCGGGGACCAAACAACAGTATGTATATATATATATATATATATATATATATATATATATTCTGAGAAACACTTTGAGGCTTTAATCTCTTCAAAATGTAAAAATAATGAGCGTATTAGAACAGTGACCCCCATCTGACTTCAGCGACATCTTAAAAATATATATACTAAAAATATAAAATATAAATACTATAAGTAGTAGTATAAGTATAAGTAGTATAATATGTATATTTATATATGTATATATATATAAAAAAATATATATATTATATATATATATATATTCTGAGAAACACTTTGAGGATTTAATCTCTTCAAAATGTAAAAATAATGAGCGTATTATACCAGCGACCCCATCTGACTTCAGCGACATCATAAAAAAAATAAACATTAAATCCATAAATATGAGCCTTTACAAAACAGCGCTCTCTGCAGTCCACTCCGTAATTTATTGGCCAAATCATTTTGATGATAGCAGGGGTTTATATGCTATCATCATATATGATATGATGATGTTTGATGATGTTTGATGATAGCAGCAGGTTTATAGTTATGCTGGATGTGTATGTAATGGTGAACAGGAAGGCACATTTTTGTAGTGCATTCAGTTCAGCAATCAGTGGGCGCTGCAACCCACCTCCAGTTACTGCTGCTGAAGTAGCAGCAGCAGCAGGAGGAGAAAAGCTCCGTGGTCACATTCAGTACAGGCAGCAGACAGAGCCATAGGAATGAACACTTTTCTTAAACAGCCGCGCCAGATCCGCAACATTAACATCTCTACGATCATACAAATATGAATTGATCTATTTAAATATGAAAAACAACATTAATATGTAAGGCAGCACATCTGAAGCTGTGGCGGTGCTGCAGTGTTTTTTTTTTTTTTGTTTCGTTTTGTTTTTTTTCGGGAACATTTATTAAGAAGTGTACCGAAGATTGATTGCGATTCTCTCTGAGTGTCTTTCTCTTTTTCTTTCAGACTCAGCTTTATGTGGCTCTTTCATCAAAAGGTACCTGACAGCCAAAACACCCACACAGCAGAACAGACAACACCAGAGCAAAATCTAGAGAATAATGTCATGGGCTGCTGAATTAGTGGTCTGTAAAAATTAAACTAAACTCTCCTCTGCTGCGTTAAAACGTTTTTGTTTGTTTTTTTCCACAAAGAGGGAAAATTACTTCAAGATGGAAATAATATATGTCATGGGAAACTGTTTTCCTCCAGAGCCTGATGCTGCTCATCAGCTGTTACTGTTAGTGTTTTGCTTGGGAGTGGGAAGAATGACAGGAAGTGGCCCACGTAAGATTAAGCTGAAAAGTAAAGTGGAGGGAAGTGGCCCACGTAAGATTAAGCTGACAAGTAAAGTGGAGGGCACTTGGTGGCAAAATCAGCAATACAGTTCCCCTTGAAGGGCTGGTTGTAAATGGAAGACTGTATAGATCAGGGGTCCCCAAACCCCGGTCCGCGGACCAGTACCAGCCCATTAGTCATTTGGTACCGAGTCGCGGTGGGACACAATAAAAAAATTATAAAAATAATTTTTATTAATTTACTTCATTCAAAGAAAATCAAGTCATAATAATTTACCTTCTTTATTTAAAGATAACTTAGCAATATTTTAAAATAATAGGTCACGGGTAACTGGCTGACCAGTCCTTGGAACAAAAATGGTTGGGAACCAGTGGTTTGGATGTAACTACTCCATAACAGACTAATACATGTTTCTGCAATTGATTATTATACAAATATTGTTCATTGTTGTAAAAAAGTAAAAGAAAATGTGAGTTTGTGTTGATAAAGAATTCCCTAGTTTATTTTGGTTTATGTTTGTTAAATAGATAGAGGGATGGATAGATGTTGGATTGATGGACGGATGTACAGACGGACAGGCAGACAGAGAGACAGAGTTCCTTTCAGGAAACTATGACAACATTAGATTTACCAACACCACGTCCAATCAGCTTTTCCAAAAACAGGACTTCAGACATCACACTAAAGTAATCATAAGACACAAGAGGACAGTTGGACATGCCGTGACTGGAGCCAAAGAACCATTAGCTGTAAATGAATTCTAATGAGAACAAAAAAAAAAAAAAAACCTGCTTCCAACTCCCAAAAATCCAGCCCTGGAAGTTGAATAAGATGACTTAGTTTGGCTTTGAAGCTCAAACCCATACTGAGATTTTCGGGGGGGTTTAAACAGTCAAGGCCGGTCGACACTAAATTTCAAAAAGCTGAACAAACCCTTTCATGTATTGCGCTGGTCTAGATAATCAATTTGGCAGATCACCAATGGACAGCAGTTAGCCTGTGACCCTGGCCACAGCGGTGGCGTCGATGTCTGCTTGTGTGCAGAAGCTGCCGCAGCAGAGAGAGCTGTAAAGTGGATATAAAGCACCTCCCGCCCGCACAAAAAGTGACATGAATGATAATGACTGTATTCAAAACCCTGTGTAGACGGCGACTGCCCGTCAGGCTGAGTAAAAGCCTTTAAATGAGGCATTGACATGCAGATGCAGTATCTTGAACAATCCTCCTAAAATATATTAAATATATATATATCTATATATATATAATAAGCAGTACCGTTGGATATATATACAGTATGTTTATATATGTATGTTCCTTTATGGAACTTAATACTGATTGTGAAAGTGATATTAATCATCAAATCAATCAATCACAATCCTTTTTTGGAGTACCACTACGGACGATTCTGCGATTCACCGATAGCCCTAATCATATATCACATACAGTAAGAGAGTAATGTAGCTTGACTAGTACTACTGCTACGACTACTAAAACAATGCCATTTGTAGTTTTTGTTAATTTTCCTCACCACTATGCTCGAGCTAAATGCTTAGGTTTCTGACATTGTAATTAGCCACTGTGTCGTTACACAGCACACGTGATAACAGTGGCAATGGCGATCGCCACTTCACCTAACACCTAAGCTAACATTAGCTCTGGGAGCTAATGTTAGCTTCAACCCTGGAGCAGAAAAAAAGGCATTTATTGAATTAAAAATTAAAAAAAAAAAAAAAACTTTCTGTGTAGACATCCCATGTTACAACATGGACACCTGCGGCTTATAGCGAAGTGCGGCCTATATATGTACAATTACATTTTTCTTTCTAGATTTAGTGGTCGTGGCTTATATTCAGGTGCACTCAGTAGTCTGGAAATTCTGGTTATTTTAAAGTAAACGCAATCCGCTGACTATTTGAGATCATTTAGGTCTCATTAAGGGTTAAAGAGTAACGCGAGTAATACGTCACGATCCATCAATAACCCCTTCAACAAGAACAATTTCATAGTCATAAGAGAGTAACCGAGCTTCCGTATCACTCCTGGGATCTCATAACTCACAGAAAACTGAACATGAAGCGAGAGATGCAGAGAGAGAGACAGGCCTCGATGAAGGTAGGTGGTAGGCTCATCTCGAAACATTGTAACCTGTACGTGAATTATAAATGATTCAAATTCATTAAGAAACAGAATCACCGGGATAATGTTTGGATAATAGTGTTCGGACAGCAGACAGGGGCTGTAGAGTCAACAATACCCCGATAATACTGACATGCTGTACATGTGAGACACACGAAGCTAAATGTCACCTGTCATTGGGGGGCTTATTGGAATACTCCCAATGACGACGATGATGATGATGAGTCAATGCCAAACACATTTTTTATATTAACTACCATGTTGGTCTGTTTTTGGACCATTTGGTGGAATAGTGGATTGACAGTTCAATGTGTTGGGTTTGTACATACACAGTCACAGGACAATAAATCGATCAGTTTAAAGGACTGGCTACATGTCTGTCCATTGTTCGTCCTCCGTGGATCTTACTAGAAATGACTCCAGTTTGAGTGTGTATAACGCTCATAAATGTAGAGAGCAAAAGTTCAGATTTAGAAAATTGTGTGTGCATCTCAGATGAACAAAAGCTACTGTGGGAAAATCAATACAATTACAGCATCCCATATCTACAGAATCGGAACAGGAGGGAAAGGGTTAGGGAATCAGGAGTACGCTGGTAGAGAACCTTCACACAGTCCACGTTCATTCAACATTGATTTCACACTGTTTCCACCACCTGGCTTAATGAATTCCCATCAACTTCTGTCACGTCTTTCGTTTTGTCTCACGGACTTTAAGAGCAACCGCCTTTGAAGTAACACATTCATTATTCTAGCACCAACACAAGAGTTAATCTCTGAACTCGACGAGCAGAAATACAGATGAGGAAAGCACCGATAAAAGTTTTTTGTTGTTGTTAATGATCTGTTAACATGCCCTCGGCAAATGAACGAAGCGGTTGGCAGAAAAAAAATACAAAGTTCAACAATTAGTAAAACAGACTACGCTGATTTGACCCTGTCTATTACAGCGTGGTCAACATTGACGACGGTTGTAAAATAGTGACAACTTGATGTTGTTTTGTATTCTCCAACACTGTGTGCTCAGTGTGTGAATATATATATATATATATTAACCCTTTGATGCATGACCCATGATATACTGAGTTAACAAAATGTGTTTTTATGTGTTTTTAGACACAAAAATAAGAACTGATTTGGTTCTGTTTTTATACACCAAATTTTCTTTTGGAATGTTGACACAATTATTCTGCAGTTGCAAAGGCTGACCACTGTATGACAGTGTTGGGTGATTCTCAGGGCATCCACTGTAGAGGCTTATATGCAACACTGCCATCAAAACCTATTCTTTATCATAGAAAACGACATTTTAATCGCTGTCCACTGTAGTGACCGTCATGCATGAAAGGGCTAATAGTATTTGTGAAAACTAACCAAACTTTAAAGTCCTTCACCTGTCCATTACAGATCCAAATATAGAGACATACAGCAATTTGGACTCACACCTATACCTAATTTACAGTGTCCTAACTAAGCCAGTACTTCTCAAATATTTGGATGGGTGGGGGGTTGGAGGGGTGAGGTGCCAGGGGACTTCCAATGGAATATGGCACGCAGGACATAGGTGTACCACTGCTGTAATGCTTGAACGATAAACAAGCCCCCAGCCACTAGGTGGCAGCAACTCATACAGTGAACACTGAACTAACCGAACCCCCGCATGGTTTCAGTCAGTGGGAGAACACTGAGGTACAGACAGAACATGCAAACTACATATGCAAATACCACTGGTTAATATTGGGGCTTGAACTGGTGGCCTTCTTGTGTTAGGCAAGGGAAATAACCGTCTTTTTCCATTATTCGGGCCGATGATAAAGCGCGATTTTTGTAACACGAAGGTATTAGGTCGTTGTCCAGTATTTCGTTTTTTCAGGAGTACATGGGTGGTACACTATTTGAGCTGCTGATCTGTAGGAACAAAGAGGTTGATGAAATAGCCTGTCCGTCCTGCGAACACGAAACAGTCCGTTTTACAATAATGACTCAAGTATTTCTCTGACTCTGTTTACTGAAGAAGCGTCTACTCTAAGTGTCTTAGAGCTGGGATCTTTCCTCGCCTTCAGCGGAGTAACCAGTGTCCAAAAACTCCCCTCACTGCTCTCTCTGGTTCTGCTGATCTGTGCAGAGCCCATGTCTGTGATGGAGACTGCAGACAATTCACTATGAAATGGAAGTCAATAAATCTCTAACTGTTTCTATTTAAAGTATCTGTGGGCTCACTCACAACATCTCTCTGGCTCTCATCACCAGCACTGCCACCCACCACATGCACACATGATGATGGATCTATTTACTTTCACTCCTGCTTTTACAGTGTTTATGAGGTTGCTCTGTAAGTCTTCATTATCGAATCTCTAGGTGGCGCAATACTGGACTTTACCAGGAGAAATAAAGCTGGGGCTGCGGGGCCCAGTCGACCACCGGGCCTTTAAACCGGGTACTTGTTCACACTACTCATATAGTTAATTACGGTTTATCTTACACTACTCTCCACAACCTACTGTGGCCCGCCATGTCGACAGTCATAATCCCAACTGCACACAATCCCCAGCGATTGGCAGCAAATGTATGCAGCGTGTTATACAGAGTGGCATCTTTTTTTTAAAACATAAAACAGAGAGGAGAACCAGAAGAACCGTAACGATGTAGCTGCAGCCGCGCTGATCACAGTCTGTCAGGACGCAGGCCGAGCGGCTCCACAGCCGCATTAAAGGCTCAGTTAGTAAAATCAAAAAAGAAGAAAAAAAAAAAGACTTACATCAGGAGCAGCAGTCCGACGCTGTGCTCATCATCCCTGCTTCGCGGATCCTCCAGACCTCTTCGCGACCGTGCTGAAGCAGAAACCGGAGCCTTAGGATCCAGATGTGCCTTTGCTTTCACCGCCCGCTCCTTTGTTTGCCTATTGAAAGATGAACTTATTAAATGAAACTATTTAAAAAAAAAAATGTTTCTCTTGATTATTATCAAACAAAAACATTAAAAAAAAAAACCAAAACAAAACCCACAGCTCTACCGGTCTAGAATAAAAATGAGTAAATACAAAAAATGTAATCGGAAGTGCATGGCTGACTCAGCTGGCTGCTCGTCTGAGTGTGTCACTCCGTGAGCCGCCGTGCGTGTGTTTGTGTGTGTGTGTGTGTGTAAGGAGACACTGACGGGGAGGTGGACTCTATTGTATTTACTGCCGATGACATCATCCCAGACCAATGGCGACACACATATACAACACACGCACACGCTGGATGGAGGCTCCGGGGCAAGCATGCATCACACGGGCCACAGGCAGAGTGCGTACGTGTATGTACGCGTGCGTATGCGCATGCGTGTGTTACATAGAAAAATATTGAGCGTTGAATAAATAATACACGTATTTATCACAGGATGAAAAGCAAATGTAATGTAATTTCCCCTTAATTATTATAAATTAGTATTTCCCCTAATTATAATAAATTCACTTAATTTCCCGAGGGGAACTCCAAAGGGATTAATAATAAAGGTCTATCTATCTATCTATCTATCTCCCTATCTATCTACCTATCTATCTACCTCCCTACCTACCTACCTATCTACCTAACTATCTATCTATCTACCTAACTACCTATCTACCTACCTATCTACCTAACTATCTATCTATCTACCTAACTACCTATCTACCTACCTATCTATCTATCTATCTATCTACCTACCTACCTACCTACCTAGCTAGCTAGCTACCTACCTCCCTACCTACCTATCTATCTACCTATCTATCTACCTCCCTACCTACCTACCTAGCTAGCTAGCTACCTACCTCCCTACCTACCTATCTACCTACCTACCTAGCTACCTACCTACCTAGCTAGCTAGCTACCTACCTCCCTACCTACCTATCTACCTATCTACCTACCTACCTAACTATCTATCTACCTACCTACCTATCTACCTATCTACCTACCTACCTAGCTACATACCTATCTACCTAGCTACCTACCTACCTAGCTACCTAACTATCTATCTATCTACCTAACTACCTATCTACCTATCTATCTATCTATCTATCTATCTCCCTATCTATCTACCTACCTATCTCCCTACCTATCTACCTACCTACCTAGCTACATACCTATCTACCTATCTAGCTAGCTACCTACCTACCTAGCTAGCTACCTACCTACCTAGCTACCTACCTACCTAGCTACCTACCTACCTACCTAGCTAGCTACCTACCTATCTATCTATCTATCTATCTACCTATCTATCTACCTCCCTACCTACCTACCTAGCTAGCTAGCTACCTACCTCCCTACCTACCTATCTACCTATCTATCTACCTACCTACCTAGCTACATACCTATCTACCTAGCTACCTACCTACCTAGCTAGCTAGCTACCTACCTCCCTACCTACCTATCTATCTACCTATCTATCTACCTATCTACCTACCTACCTACCTATCTACCTAACTATCTATCTACCTACCTACCTACCTATCCATCTATCTACCTACCTACCTATCTATCTATTTATCTATCTATCTATCTATCTATCTCCCTATCTATCTACCTACCTATCTCCCTACCTATCTACCTACCTATCTACCTACCTACCTACCTATCCATCTATCTACCTACCTACCTATCTATCTATTTATCTATCTATCTATCTATCTATCTCCCTATCTATCTACCTACCTATCTCCCTACCTATCTACCTACCTACCTAGCTACATACCTATCTACCTAGCTAGCTACCTACCTACCTAGCTACCTACCTACCTAGCTAGCTAGCTACCTACCTACCTACCTAGCTACCTACCTATCTATCTATCTATCTACCTATCTATCTACCTCCCTACCTACCTACCTATCTATCTACCTATCAAACTGCCTACCTACCTATCTATCTATCTACCTAGCTACCTACCTACCTAGCTAGCTAGCTACCTACCTCCCTACCTACCTATCTACCTACCTACCTAACTATCTATCTATCTACCTACCTATCTACCTACCTATCTACCTACCTACCTATCTATCTACCTAGCTACCTACCTACCTATCTACCTAACTATCTATCTATCTACCTATCTATCTACCTCCCTACCTATCTACCTACCTACCTAACTATCTATCTACCTACCTACCTAGCTACATACCTATCTACCTATCTAGCTAGCTACCTACCTACCTAGCTAGCTAGCTACCTACCTCCCTACCTACCTATCTATCTACCTATCAAACTGCCTACCTACCTATCTATCTATCTCCCTATCTATCTACCTACCTACCTACCTATCCATCTATCTACCTACCTACCTATCTATCTATCTATCTATCTATCTATTAAGCATTAACCGGGTCGGATTGAATCCCGTAGTGGGCCACTGCTGGCATATGAAAGCAAATAGTACAATATGTCTCATAAAGTCTTACTTTCTTTTTCCCAAGGTTTGCCATTTCATAGACAAATATGCAATAGTGGAGGCACCTGCAGTGACAGTTTGTTAATGAGATTTTGCATTTTCTCAATCTGCCAGGTGATAACATCTTTTCTCTAAGCAATATGGTTCAATTAAATGATAACACCAAAGTCCAACCCCAAAGAACACAATTCTGTTTTTAAAACCCTTCATAAACTGCAGTTTTTACTCAAAACTTTTGCAGTATTTGCTCAAGTCTCTCAGCACATTGCGCAAATCCTGGCTACCAATTATTATTCTGGTGGACTTGAACCTGAAACCTGAAATGACAGATTACTCTGTTGTACTCTGGGTTACAATCAAGACAGGATATCAAACAGCAACATTTATTTCCAATTTTTGTCCATTAAACGTGCATATATAAACAGAGAATATAAATAAATCTACTGTAATACAGATACAATACTCTACAGATTCTAGGTAAAATATATAATAAAAATTTCAATATCAATTGCACTGGGACACAAGGAGGAACTCTTGGGAAATGAATGATACACAAGTTGCTTCTTTTAGTACTTTTTTTTTTTTTTTTAAATCCAGGATGATGGATGTGTTCGGTGATTGTGTTGTCACGTTGATGGATGTGTTCGGTGATTGTGTTGTGATGAGGTCCTTGCTCCAGCAGTCACGTAGTCTCTCGGCTGTGCTTGGATTGAGAGGGATGCTATTGAAAAATGTTCACAGTGTCAGAAAGAAACGTGAAGTTCCGCGTGCCGTGCCGTGCCGCGCCCGTCAACATTTTCTGCCGCAGACTGATTTTCCACGACCACACACCCCCAAAGATACTTTATGTTCAACTCAGTTCCAGAGTTAGTCATTTTGCCCCCCCCCCGAAAAAGTTTTGAACATGATACACGATTGAGAAAGCTTTGCGAAACGGCGCGCTGAACATGGGCGGTTGATAAAATATATAATACTCTGTGGTTCGTGTGTGTTTACACTGATACTATATATCAACACTTCAACGTCATATCAAAAACTCACTGTTAGTTACTTCAGGAGTGTTCACCGAGAAACTCTGATAACGTGCAAAAAGAAACACACACTCTTGCACGAAACTCCCACACACATTGTTCACTTACACGTGATATACAATGAGTATTTAATGTATAGACTAAATATTCATTAATACAGCAATGATTTACAAGTTGTCACTTCTTTAATACTGTCAGTTTCGTTACACGGTGCCTTTCAAGTCCATAAATTCCGGCTTCAACCTTGTGCTTATTTTGTGACACGGAAAAAAACCTAGGGATGTCGGACATTACATTTTTACCGATGTCCGATATGCCGATTTTGTCCAAACACCTAATTTCCGTCTCCGATAACTGGTACCGATATACGCAACAGTTTGGCCCCAAGACTGAGGTAAACATCTCAGTACTCCACAAGCGATTCTAGCATATTTGGCAAAACCCTTTTGTCCAAGGGTTTTCATTATCGGAGGAAAAAACCGATAACGATTCTTACAGATATTACATAATTATGCTAATATCGCTCCGATAATATCGGTCGGCCGATATTATCGGAGAGATATTAGCATAATCCCTAATAAAACACCAAATAAGGACACAGTGCCATAAAGGTCACAGGTCAAGTCATGGTTTTTCAAAATAGACCACACTGTATACGAAAAGAAAAAAAAAATTCATATTGTTGCTTACGAAACATTTCAAAGACTTGAGAATCACGTATTGAGAAGTTTGCAGCTGGACATTCACTTAAGATGGTCCAGATTTCAGCTTAATACAGGCCTCTCACCTTCTGCCGACTATCGTCCGTTTGGCTATGCGATCATAATTTGGAAAGTCAACATCGTCCTTCACTTTTTCTTCAGAAGAATACCTGAAAGTAGAAAGTGAGACAAACTCCTGAGAGTCGTTTAGTAATGTCAGAAACGAAGGAGAAGAAGTAAGTAAAGTGATAGTAAGGTAAATCAATTTCGAACCAAAAAATGCTAATTAAAGATAAAGAGTTTCAGGAAGGGCCAATAGAAATTGTTTTTTTTTTTGTTTGTTTTTTTGTGGATGAGAGCAACGTTGAAACACAGAATTCTCACTTCAATCAGTAATAACCAATGATACAAATAGCTATAAACTGCAGTGAAGACCGTTTAAAACAATGTGAGAAAAGATCGGTAAACTGTTGAAACAGTGTGCAAAGTTCTTTTTTTTTTTTTTTTTTTTTTGCATTGTCCACTCTCTTAAAAACCCGGCACATGGCAGTAAGCCTCCAATGAGGACAAGAGGATGTAGATGAACCACAGAACGAGAAAGAGGAAGAAGGTGAGGAGCTTGGCTGTCCGTGGACCCCCCAGCTCTCCGCCTGCCACACTCGGACGGCGGCGGTAGAGTAACACCCCGACGCAAAATAATGCCATGATGGTGAAGAGGGTGACAGAGAAGGCTAAGGAGCCGGGGTCTACTTTAAATATTTTGCCCTTGGTCTGCCAGTAAACAGCTGCAATGGTCCACGCCACCCCGATACCGAGGAACACGTTCACCGCATTGCTGCCTGTCACGTTACCGATGGAGGCGTCGGCATATTGGTCCTGGATCGCAGCCACTTTGCTCGCAAAAGTATCTGTGAAAGAGAAGATTACGTTTTTTTGTTTTTTAAAAATATTGTTAAATCCTACTTTTCAAAATCCTGAAATAAAACAATAAATATATACATATATATTTTTTTAATTATTTATTCCCCAGAGAATGCTGAGAAAATATATTTAAGACAGGACAACACAGTTATGTAGTTCAACAGACGTGTAATAGGTACTTAATACTGTATTTTCTGGACTATAAGTCGCATTTTCTTTTTTCATTCTTCAGTGTGGATTGCAACTTATACTCAGGTGCAACTCATATATTCAAATATATTATAAATATATATATTTATATTTATTTAAATATTTATATTATATTTGTATTTTTACACTGACAGCCGCTAGAGGGCACTCTAGGCTTTTGTACCAGTATCTGCTACTCCTTTACCACTGAAAATTTACATGTTCGTTATTTTTCACACTGACAGCCGCTAGAGGGCACTCTAGGCTTGGGTATCAGGATCTGCTCACCCTGTCCCACTGAAAATTTACTTGTTCGTTATTTTTCACACTGACAGCCGCTAGAGGGCACTCTAGGCTTGTGGACCAGTATCTGCTACTCCTTTACCACTGAAAATTTACCTGTTTGTTATTTTTCCCACTGACAGCCACTAGAGGGCACTGGGTAGTGCAATTTATACTGCGGAGCAACTTATAGTCTGGAAAATACAGTAATTCAAATTAATTGTTTAGATTTTATAACTTAAAACCATTGCTAGTACATAAATACTGTATTTTATTTTTTAATTTTTAATTTTTTTTTTTTCGGATTCTGCGCTTCTGCATGTTTTTCATTAACATAGTCATATTACCACAGGCTTACAAAATACAACTTTTCCTCAGTATATTTTTTGTTATTTTCTTATAAACAGTGTTTCCAATACAAAATGAATGTCTAACTGATTTGTCAACTGCTCCATTCCCACACAAAAAGTCCTGATACAAAAACACAACGGCGTCATGTGCGCACAGAAACTGTTGATGGTGGCCACTAGGTGGAGGATGGTACAGTGAGACCATCAGCTCCCCGACCCTAACTGAAGGGGGCTCTCCTTCTGAAGGGTAACTCTGATTAATCCAGTTCCTCCTCCAATCCAAACAACATGCAGATTGAGGTTTAATATGTAAACAATCTCCAACCTCACCATTGGGTATGATTGTAGGCTTAAATGTTTTTTTTCCCCTCTATTTACGAGGAAAACCCAAAGTAATTGTTGGGGTGTGTGAGCTGCCACTAGGGGGTGCGCGAGATAAATAATAATAATAATAGTGGATTAGAATGGGATTTTTCAACGCTGCCACTAGGGGGTGCGTGAGATAAATAATTGTGATAGTGGATTAGAATGGGATTTTTCAAATAGGCATACTGTATAAGTAAATATTTTCTTTTGTAAAATTTGAAATTAAAAGCAGACATTGTAATTAATAAATAAATGCAGGCTATTTTTACATTTTTTTTTTTTCAAAGGTGTGGGGAACTGCGGGGGTGCGTCATCCTGCATGGGATGTAGTAAAAAGGGGGTGCACAGCCAAAAAAGCCCTCACCTGATGACTGCTGGGAACTGAGTGAGTAAATGATTTACAAATAACAGCCGTCTCACAGCGAGATGAAGTGGTGACAGCATTCCTTATATATATATCGCTGACTTTGGTCTTGTACTTCTATCTTCTTGGCTTAAAAATTCTGTTATGCAGATACAGTACGCCTGTCATCGCTGCGCTGTCGTAGCACCGACGTCTTTATTATTGCAAACTCTTAAGAAAATGCATGAGTCACTTTCCAGACCGACTGAATGCCAGTTTTGTTGGCGTATTTTCCCCTCCTCACCGTGGCAGTATTTAGGACACAGTGAAATGGAAATACAATTAGACAACACAGAGGGAATAACAAGCAAAATAGCCCCCCCCCCCCATGTCATGCTGCTGCTTTAACTGAGACAAACCCAAGAGAGGCGGCGCAATGTGACAGGCTGTAGTGTAAGAAGGGACAGACAGCAAAAACACACCCACCTGGAACAGAGGTGCCAAGAGCTACGAACACCACAGCGGTGACAGAGTCTTTGAGGCCGATGGTGCAGCCAAAATGAGAGGCCAAGTCTCCGGTCACTGCCGTCAGAATACCAATGAGAGAAATGGAGACAAAGAAGCAGGCCCAGCCATTCCAGTACTCAGTGGGTGGGACAAAAGCGAAGAGGACCTTCCAGAAGACTGTCAGGAAGTGCATGATGTAGTCAAAACAAGACGGGAGACGCTCCTCCCCGCTCTCCTCCTCGTCATCATCACCTGAAAATAAAGGAAAAAAAAAAAGCCTGATAACCATTCTTTTACAGAGTGTTTTTAGACATTTGTTTAAATGTCGGTTTATTATCATTGATAAGGAAATGTGGTTGACATTTACATGTGCAATGTAGTTTTAAATTAAATTTTAAATTAAATTTAAAAAATGATTTGTTATATTTTTATTCCTTTAATTAGAGGCTATGTTATTTATTCAATGCAAACGATAGCTTTCACATGTTAATAATGGAGCAAAACATGCAAAGTTCTTTAATTCAAATTAAGTTTTGTTGATGGATCCATCATTCAATAAATGTATGTGAGTAAAAAACAAAAACAAAAAAAAACATTAAATTAATTCAAAATGAAGTTCCAGTTCTTTGATATGTAAATAATTCTTTGACGGTTTAATGCGCTAACGGTGAGCACTAGTCATGTTACGTGTCTGTTTAGATTGAATACCTTACAGGGGTTTTTTTTCTTTCAAAAACGAAACAGTATGTCACATAATTCAAATTAAATATTTGATATTCAAAACATTGAAAAAACGACCTGAAGTTTTGGCTCCATTCATTTGTACCATTTATGGGTAACATACAACATTAAACCAGCAGATGGTGCTATAAAAATAATACATTAAATACGCTTTATATTGAAGCTGACTATAACGTCTCTAAAAGCAGGGGGAAACGCTAAGACGTCTGTGTGCTAATTATCTCGTTATACTAATGAAGCCGCAACAGCAGCAATTCATTATCGAATGCGCTCGACGGGAAACATCTTGACAATATTGGAACACTTTGAAACACGTCCATTGTAAATGCTGCATTCGTTTTCTATTATTACTTTCAAGTTTTCAATTTATGGGGAATATCGTTTGACAACACCACGTGACTGATAACTGCAATCAGTGTGGTGATGAGCAACTTAATGTCGGAGACATTTACCAGTGCCTTCATTTTACCTCTACCACTTGTGTTCACATGTGTGATTAGTACTCTATAAAATATATATATATATATATCATGAAATACATACTGTATATCCCTTTGATGCATGACCCATGATATACTGAGTTAAAAAAATGTTACTAAGTGTTTTTATGTGTTTTTAGACATAAAAATAAGAACTGATTTGGTTCTGTTTTTATACACCAAATTTTCTTTTTGAATGTTGACACAATTATTCTGCAGTTGCAAAGGCTGACCACTGTATGGCAGTGTTGGGTGATTCTCAGGCGTCCACTG